TATGCATAATTATTTCCAAAGTTGGACCGTGGACGTGGTACATTCCCAGAAGTTTCGCCGGCATCGTAGTCGGCATCGTAAGTCAGTTTTACCATATTACAACTCGTCAAAGGGACAAGTAAGGCCGATCCTTCGACCAAATGTGTGCTAAACAGTTATGGTATCTCCCCTTCTGCCCTGGCCTATTTGCATTTCCTATATCCTCCAATCACACCTTCACTGTCACAATATTTTACTTGCTTAATTAAATTTCATTGGTCTGTCCTTTTTTAGCTGTTTTCATGAGAACCCTCCGCACTCCACGCTGGCATTCTCACCACCCTTCATCCTTGTGCTAGGAATGTTGATCATAGTCTGTCATATTGTTACACAGGCCTCCTTCCCTAAGTCTTACCACAGTCTCTCTCTTGCCCCGTAAGATCCATCTGCCCTCTCCCTGGTTCACATATATCAACCTATTAATGAAACCCAGTATCGCACATCTGCAAGACAAATGGAAATGTCTGTAAAGCACATACTGTCGTCATTCGGAAAAGTCCATTACTCTAATCTAAACGGTCCTGTCGACTTTTGGAATTAGTCGGTATGACGATGATTTACTGGTAGACTCGAAATACTACTCACTCACGAGCAAAGTAATGTCGTCGATTGCTATAGCAAATCTAAGTTTGCTTCCATCGTAGAATGCCAAGTGTCCAGGAGAGAAAGGGATATCTTCCCGAAGTAGCCTGGGAAACTTCTCTACTGCAAGAGCAATAAAGTGAAACAGTGGTCGTTAACTTTTCCAACAATTATATGAGAAGGCCCTATAATGTCATCAGATTTTATCTGGCCTTGCTTCCCAAGGGTATATTTCTATCCGTAGTGGACTGGACTGCAAATTCGACTTGGCCTTGTTCTCATTAGCACCCCCAACGAGAAATTACTGGTAATTTAGAAGCCTTCTAAATATGCATATATGTAATGTTGTCGATTGTAATAGCAAATACAAGCCTGCTTCATCAGCTATCTCACTATAAGACGTGATATGGGAGAGGCCTGCTTAATTATAGTGCCGTACTGGTATAGAAAGGATAAAAGGTAATATCTTAAGATATTGGCCTACCAAAATCACATGACTAAAACAATATGCAGAGGCCTTGTGGATGTATAATGCTTAGTGAGAGTCACATGAAATAGCTATTTTGCTCATTATAACTCACAGGCGACAAGCAAAGTTCTACTTGCTTCAACGTGCGCGCCAGAGCCCGGCCCCATATCTACCAGACGACCAGCCAACTCCCCTTCTTCCCACTTGGTTCCGTGTTCCTCCTTCCCTTCACGCTCCTCCCTCGCTTTAGGCCGCCCTTGTTTCCAAGGCCGGTATCCAAAAGATCTATTACCAGCGTCCCCGTTGCTGAGAGATTTGGGGCTAGTTTGAAGTTTAAGAATTTGTGCCCCGGAAACATCCCCTAAATACCAGGCTGGTACTGAGGATGGCCGGGCCGCATCAAGGCCGATAGAATCAGTCGGGATGAGTCTCGAACCAGGGGATCGGGAGTCAGGCTCGGCCATGAAGGCGGCCGCATAGGCATCGCATTGATCAAGGACAATGCTTGCCTGCAAAATAACGGCCTGCTCAGAGTCAATAAGACTGGGCAATAGACGGAGCCGCTCTGCGCGACGTTGACTTTCTGTCATTGTTTCCCTCTTCCCCGTATCCTTACACACTTCTTCCTCGTCCTCCCACTCCCCCGCGTGGTCGTCATCGCCATATTCTAATCCTTCTTCCTCGTCGTCGTTTTCTTCTACATCGTACTCACTGTCATCAGTAGTCTCTCTTCTATGACTAAAAATTGCTCTACTGCTGTCACTGCTTGATGCTATACACGAACCTGCTGATTGAACTTTCTGGTCTATCAATCCATTTCTTCTCTTTATGAATGAAAGCTGCCTGAGATCCATATGCCTTGTCAAAGCATGGTCGCTCAGGCTAGGAGGATCCGAAGTACTTTGACGAAATCCTCCCGAAGACGAAGACGTCTCGCCTAAATGATTATGCAAAGCAAACAATTAAATAAGCGCGAATTTAGTGTTTTGGATGAAATAGAAAAAGCATATTTTCCCACTGACCGAGTTTTAATTTAGCCTAACAAAATTGATTCAGCCGATACTCCTTGACCTCTTCTCAAAATAGAAGAAGCTAGGCTGAAGAAGCATGAGGCTCATTGCTCATGTAAGCCATTGAGCTCTAATCGGAGCGTCCATTCTCTAGGCCACTAAGATTGCAGCTTTTTATTTAATTCGCCAAGCATACTCATAGATAGCCTGAGTAGATCAATTCTCCTAATTTGTGCTGTATTCTGTTTAAAAATCAAAATCCT